CTCAATTGGCCATTTGCGGCCTGNATTGTCACCAAGTCCTTGCCCCCCAGCACAATGTCAAAAGTGATTTTAGTGCTTTTGAGGAGGCGTGGATCAGCTAGGAAATAATTGAAATCCTGTAGCTGTGAGAGTGTATGGGGGTTGGTTGCCCCCCAGGATTCTTGCAATGGTACAACAACCGCTGTAGTTTCCAAGTTGAATTTTGCATTGTTTCTGGGCTGCAAATGCAGCTGAACCAATGTTGTTGACTGCAGGTGAGCATTGCCAATTCCTGCAATAGTATGGGCTGTGGCTGTTTGCACTGTAGGTAGATGAAGTTGCTGAACAAGGGCTTGCGTCACCAGAGTCAATTGTGACCCTGTGTCAAGTAACGCATGGACCTCAACATTTTGTGGCTGTATTTTGATTGTTGCGGTTTCCAGAAGAGAGTATGCTACAGAACTTGTTGCGACATTTGCCCGAACTAGTCATGCAGGGTTGGCTATTGCTGCTGGTGCCGCGTGTGCCGGTGCCGGCAATGCCGACGCCGGTGGTGGTAATTGTAGGCAATCAGAAATGGCTTGTAGGATTGATGCAAAGTTGCGGGGGTCTCTGTCATTCGACCGATTGTTTGATTGAGGCCTGCCATTCCACCTGTTACTGGAGTTGTCATTGTGGTTAGTTTGGTTGTTGTTGTTTTGATTTTTGTTGTTTCATCCATTGTTGTTGCGTTTGTCATAGTTTTGATTTAGGTTGTTGTTGAAGTTGCTTCCATTTTTGTTGTTAGACCTGAATGAGTTCCAAGAGGATTTGTTGCTCCAAAAACGGTTGCCTTGGTATCCGTTGTTATTTCAGTAGCTATTGCTCCCGCAATAATTGCTGTTACCTTGAGGCCCATTATTATAGGCCTGTAGGCATAATGATGAGTGGTGAGGTAGGTTGCACGTTGAACATATTGCCCTGGAGCCACAGTTGGCAATGTTGTGGTTAGAGCTGAGGCAGTTGTAGCACAAATTGTTTCTTTTCACTGCAGATAAGCATTCAGGTGTACTGAGTATGCATTTGAAGGCAGTATGTTGTTGTTGACAAAAGGGGCATGCAAATTTGCTGCCCGAATTGTTTTGAAAGTCCAAATAGTGGTTAGATCCATTTTCTCTATAATTGGATATTCTTTGGGAATGACGAGGTGACCAATCTTCACGGTCCAATTTTTCTGGTGTTGCGAATAGGCTGTGATTCCTTCAAGATTTCTTTTCTTGTGTTGAGGAATAGTCATATTTACGTGAGGAGTTGGTACCCCTTGAGCACTGTGGACTTCTACGGTCCTCATTTTTTCTTTTCCTTGAATCCAAATCTTCATCCTTGTCCTTTACGTCGGATTTTTTATGTGATTCCTTCTCCTTCCCTTGCTTGTTGGAGGAAACATTGAGGAACGTTAACGCCGTGGGAGACACTTCATCCTCTGGCGCTTCTGCTTTCAAAAATTTTTGAATCCACCGGTACCAATTTGTGGGGGTACTTTCCCATGTTTCGGATTCTGATGCGCAATGAGGGGGATTCAGTTTCAATTTATGTAAAACGTTTGTAAGATGTCCACCCTTGTGCAAATTATGCTTGATGGTCAGCCACAGATGTATATGAACTTGAGGCATGTTGGAGCATCAATTATGAAGTTGGGTGGTTATATCAACCACTCTTTCCATATATTTTGCCATATTGTCTGCTGTGTTGCCATCTGGTTTGAGGTTGTTGAACATTTTGAAGACACATTGCCGAGTTGCCTGGATATTCCCATATTCTTCAATAAGAATTTTGAGAATCCTGCAGTAGTTGGACTCTTTAGGCCTCAATTCCGGCCAATTGGTTTGGAGCTGCTCCGGTGTTTGGAGAATTATGGCATTCAGTTCCTCGCACAATTGCAAGATCTGATGCTGCTCTTCATCCTTGAAATGATGGTGTCTGAGCAAGATGAAGTATATGGACAGGGTCATGAAGGTTTGGTGTTTTTGCACAAACGTTTGATACGTATTTGCACTTTGCGGTTGTTTATATGCTTCATCACACAGGTACATGGCATGAGCCAGAATCTCAACCTGCTGGATGGTGGGGTTGGGATCAAACTGGGTCAAGGTACTTGAGGTTGAGATGCCTGTCATTGATGGAGGTGGTGACGGGTTTGGAGGAGCAGCAACAGGTTGCCGCGGCGGTCTGCCAGGTTGTCGTGTGCTCCTTGGTGCTTTGAGCTGAGTAAAACCTGGCAAATATAGCCGGTTGTACAAGGGGTGGAGCTTTGCTCCCCCGGAATGTAATTGTAGCTGACTTGCATCAATGATTTCATGATTCACAGCTATTGGCAGATCACCGTAGTGGGATGGCTGTTTGCTCATCCGCGTACGCATGAAAGGAACACTGGCGAGTGTCGTGGATTTTCCGCAAGGCATGGTGTTGCTTGTAAATGTAGAATTTCTTCACTTCATTCACTGATGTCGATTTTTTGAAGACTTGGATGAAACTTCACCAAGGATTTCTTCTTCAAAGATTTTTCCAAGACTTTTTCACAGTCCTGTACTCTGATCTTGAGATTTGTAGATAGTTTTTTACTGGCCACCACTTTTGTCAGGGGCTAATGAGCCTCAATGACAAAGATTAATATTTCGGTTCAATTGAATCAAGTTATGAAATGATGTAATCTCAATTGGCCATTTGCGGCCTGAGGTAAATACCTCATCTCCTCGTGTATGTTCTTCAAACTTCCAACAACAAATTTCCAAGATGATTTTCAGCACACAAAAATACGCAGTCTGTTCTCTCTGAAGCTCAGATGATAAGTGACAACAATTCACACTGATAGGAGCAGGCTCAGGTCCTCCTCTGGTGGAAAGTTTCTTCAAGGCTTTTTGCCAGTGTATCCAATTGTTATTTGTTCAATTCTCATGATCATGATGATTCACAAGAGTGGAATAAGTCTTGGAGATCATTATCTCCAAGGCTATCCCTGGTGTGGTTAGGTTTCCAAGGAATCTTGTTTTCTTAAAGATAAAAATAATTAAATAATAATTTATCAATACTTACTCCTTTTTCAGGAATACTTTTCTCCAAGTTACGAGGA